TCGGCTATGACTTGCCCTGATTGCGGGGTTTCGGCATTACGAGGCGAGACCAAAAATTGGCTTTTGAAACCCCGAATGATCCCGATAGAAAGGGAAAGCAGGTATTCTCATTCAGAATTATCCCTCCCGGGCATGAGCACATTCAATCGTCAACTGGAGCAGGAGATGACGGGCAAGGTCATAACATGATATCTAGATCGACTAAAAAGAAACCATGGGAAAGACTCTATAGTCTTGGGCGAACCTGCGGCTCGAGGCTGTAGAAGTGCTGGAAAGCTCTCAGACACCCAGGATTTATCACCGTGGAACTTATCGTCCGTGGCATCTTCCCGGTTGAGATGGTCTCCTTGACCAAGGTCTCGACCTTCTTCCCATTTGATGTCATCGGAATCTCTTTGACTTCAACCACGAAGCGCGGAACATGTCTGGGACTAAGGGACTTGCGGATAGTGCTCTTCAGTAGTTGCTCTAGTTCATTGGAGAACATGTGCCCAGCGCGCATGACGACGAAAAGGAACACCGACTCGTCAAAATCAAGTCCATGCCTCTTTCTACCGACGCAGAGGGTGGTGGAAATCGTGTCCAAGAAGGGTGCCGCTTCTGTAACCGAGTAGATCTCTGCGGAGCCGAATCTGATGCCTTGCGGGTTAAGAACCCCGTCACTGTCAGAGTTAGTTATCATGAAATTCTCTGGATATCTTGTGGTGTACCTTCTTCCGTGAATGACCCAGCCATTTGTGACCGGGTTGACACTAGCCCAATCATGCTGCGCCCAGCAGGGAAATGAATAGCGACTGAAATATGATGCTCGATACTTTTCACCATCTGCATCAGCCCACATATAGACTGGCATTGACGGAAATGGCTGTCGACAGACGAACTCCCCTGCTTCCCCAGTGTTCTTGATAGAACTGCCATCAACAGGATCTGCTATGTCGACATCGTGTCCGAGAATGGGCATCTGGATCTCCCCTGGAAACAATGGACCGGCGGGATCAGTACCACACCACGAGGTGACCAAGTCAGTTCCCCCAGTCACGCTTGTGAGATGTACGCTTGAGGGAAAGACAGCGTAGAACCAGGAGTACTGATCAGCGGCAAGATGAGATCCGCCGGTTTGCACCATCCGGAGACTCGATAGATCATATTCTGCCTTGGGTATACACCTTGTCGATTCCAATTCCTTGAGATACTTTGGCGAGACGCCCCAGTAGTTCACACGGAACTTCTCGACAACTTCGAGCATGCGCTGAGGTTTTGGCCAGGTAGGAGATCCGTCATATAGGACGAGGGTGGTCCCCATAGCTAAGTGTCCGATCATAATGTTCCAGAGAACCCACGATGTACTCGAATATTGAAACACGACCTCTCCTGGTTTCAAAGAATTATGAAGCTTCCCGATCTTCTTATGTTGTATGATGGCGGCATGGCTGTGCACGAGGCATTTGGGAGGGCCAGAGGTTCCGCTGGAGTAGAGAATGTAAAGAGGTGTTGTGAATGGGAGCCTGGCAAATTTTAGACCATCAGTCTCTTTGGACCTGCCTAGGAAATCTGATAGAGGGCGAAATGGCCCCACCGGCCCTGTTGGTACGACAAACAGCTCCAAATTCGGGCCCAGAAGGTTCATGATTGACGAAATCTTGGATGTATTGGAATGCTGTTGACCTTTGTAGATGTAGTGGCTGTCGGCGAACAATATAGAAGGCTGGACTTGTTGCAGCCGGGAAATACATCCCTGGAGAGTCAATATTATATTAAAGCACTCACTGTTCACTGGGATCTTACCTCCAGCCCAAGGTCAGGAGCAATCGAGGTAAAGATGGCTCCTATGCTCGCTGATCCAAGGAGCAGGGCAACTGACCAGACCGATGTAGATATCAGAGCAGCCACTCTATCACCTCTTTGAATGCCGCTTCTGAGAAGAGCGCTTCTGATCATCCGCACATTCTCTCGCAACAAGGACCATGTCCAGACTTCGCCCTCGAGGTGTTGACACTCGCTTAAGCCGATTAGAGCAGGGCTCTGGTCATCCACTAGCGGTTGGCTCAATACGTTCTCCGCATAGTTGATCAATGCTCCTTCGAAGAATGGCGGAACCTCTGAAATGGATAGGGCCGGATCGTATGCATGCTTTACTCCCAAAGGCAGTGCGGGTATCAAGTCGACATAGTCCCAGAGATCAATCCAGAACGCATGGGGTGCTGTCACACTCCATCGGTGTAGCTCGTGGGAGTCCTTCAACTGGATACCGAATTTACTGTTGATATGCTCTCTGTAAATGTTTATTGGTATCTGGTGGGCTGGAATCATCGGCTTCCATACTGGTTTAGGCTGCATAGTGTGGTGTTGAGCCTCGTGTTGGGAAGACGGGATGTTGCTCGATCGAGATGCAACCATTTTTATGGTGGTTAGTGTATCTTGAGAATGCCAGCCCTTGCTCTTATCATGTTGTAATCCAAAGCCAGCATTAAGTCTCAAGTTCTTCCTGAAAGGTACTCAGTATCAATGTCTGCGCTCCGGAACGCTCTCCGTCGGCTGTTTGTCATTTGGCATTTGCCGCTTTACGCCGAGTAACATGCCTGTCAACCAAAAGTACTAGCCTTTGAAGCAGTAATGTGTGCCAGGGTCCAAACTTACATTACCCGTCAAACGCCGAGGGCTAGCCTCAAGGATCTAGCGGCATTCGGCACTTGTCGACCCCAATTTGAAGACAAAGAGAGCATTTAATACGGGTAACAATCTCCAAACCCTGCTGACGGAGCAGTAAACTGTCTGAAGACCTTCAAGATCGCAAGCATGTCTCCTCTCAGACCATCTACCATCGACAGTGGGTTCATCCTAGCTCCCCATGCTTTAGAGAATCCTTTCACGTCGGACAAATCGTATCAACGAGTTCTCGAATGGTATCTTCCACCTTCTATTCTCGAGACTGTCACACCTCGTCTCACCAAATTTGCGGAAGAGGCAATCTCATCGGAGGTCAATGAATTGATATCAAACGCAGAATCGCAACAACCATACGTCAAGGCCTATAATGTGTGGGGTGCCCGTTACCCATATGATAGACTGGTGACCAGTCATGGCTGGAAAGAACTGGGAAAATGGGGGTCGAAGAGTGGGTAAGTCATCACCAAAATACGTCGACGATTCGACCTGACAAGTAACAGAGTGATAGCGCTTGGCTACGAGGACGAGTTCAAAGAGTACCGGCGGCTCGTTCAGCATGCATTGTAAGTCTTGCCAGAGAGCCCACAGGTCGGGGCAGCGACTGATGGTGTAGTAACTATACATTCTCTGCATCGTCGGCGGTATATTCATGTCCAGTTTCAATGACCAGCGGAGCAGCACGGCTCGTGGCTAAACAGCTGAGCTCCGTGCCAGCTGATCATCCATTTCATGAAATCTATCGTCTCCTCATCTCCCGGGAAGGGAATTGGATCTCGTCTCAGTGGATGACCGAGAGACCCGGTGGCAGCGACGTACAGAACTCCGAAACTGTTGCTGTCTTCTCTCCGCTCCCCACCAAGTCAGGACGTTATGGGGCCATTGAAGAAGGAGACTATCTTGTGTCCGGGTTCAAGTTCTTTTCATCGGCCACCGACTGCAATATGGCCCTCATCCTGGCCAAAACAGAGTCTGGGCAGCTCAGTCTCTTTGTCGCGCCAACCAGAAAGACGGTGGTTATTGAGGGGAAACCCCAGCAGGTGACAAACGGTGTTCGTATTCATCGCCTCAAGAACAAGATGGGCACCAAGGAGCTTCCGACCGCTGAATTGCAGCTTGACAACATGAGAGCTCATCTCATCGGTCCATTGGACCGCGGAATCGCTACCATCGCCCTGCTTCTGAATGTTACCAGAACTCATAATTTTATCACTGCCTTGTCTTGCTGGCGTCGTGGCATGGCGATTGCTAAGAGCTTCGCGAAGGTCCGGACCACGATCAATCAACCGCTGTGGACGTTTCCCATGCATCTCCGAATGCTGGCAAATATGGAGGTCAAGCACCGAGGGGCTCTCCAGCTCGCATTCTTCACTACTGCATTGCTGAGTTTCGCAGACAACGGGTTTCCCCCGGAGGATATCCAACGTAGGGGCTACGTACCTCTGCCATCCCCTGGAGAACAGACAGAGATTATCCTGAGAACTCTGACCGCAACTTCAAAGGCCGTGATCTGCAAGACCGGCACTCTTTCGCTACAGGAATGCCAGGAGGCCATGGGCGGTGTCGGGTACATGGACGAGCCAGACGAGCCGGATTTCAACATCTCACGCCTCATGCGGGACACAGCAGCAAACATGACGTGGGAAGGTACTACAAACGTGTTGAGCAGCGAGGTGGTTAGACATCTCTTGAATAAGAACGCAAGACATCTTTCTGCTTTCAGCGCCTGGATGGAGTTTGCGATTTCGCGCGTGCAAGACGCTGAGCTGAGAGAGACACTGGAAGTGGCTTGGGGTGAATATTTCAGCACGCTCAATAAGAGAAGGGATGATCTGGTCTCTGCGCTCGCCATGGGACGGCAGTTGATGTTCACCCTCGCCTGGCTGGTGGCGGGGGTGCTTCTTGCACTTGACGCGGCTAGGGACACGGATGTGGTTGCTTTGGAGATCGCACGACGCTGGATTCTGGAAGGTGAAGGAAATATAGGCGAGTTCCATCTCCCGAACGTCGTTAAGGCGTCAGGGCGTGTGCTGCCAACCAGTGACAGGGACAAGATCAACTGGGACTGTCGAATAGTTTGGGGTATTGACCTCCCTGACGGCTCCGCAACGGGCTACAGAATCGGAGACAGGCAGACAAGTCGCGCCAAACTATAGTTGTATAGTGAAGTATATGTCCTGACATATCGTTTGTAGGTTATCCTCTCCAAGAGTTCTCGATCTGATCAACCGCAGTAGAGATAGTTGTCCCACTGCCAGACTGGCCGCCATTTTCCGCTCAGCTACTCATCTGAACACATGCTGTATATATCTAAGATGCTATTCGTCGTCCCTGCGTCAATTCCCGAATGCGCCCGGGCTCGCAATAGTCTGAGCCAGGTCAATCCTCCACAGCCTTGTTGATGCGAGGATGATAGCAGAATTGCCTGCCAGAGCGACCTGTGCGACACTGGTCCCCTGCATCTTCTGGCTCATCAGCGTGTCATGATTAAACAGCCCGATGACAGCTCCTTGACTGTTTCTCACTACAACGCCTTCACCTTCCCCAGTCCATACACGGCCATAATCATCGACCTTCAGGCCGTCTGTGAATGTTCTCGCCAATCCGAACATGCGTTTGTTTATTGGGAATCCCCGGCTATCAAGGTCATACTCGTAGATTCCCATCGAGCCAGGCATATTCCTGAAACAAAGATTAGTCTTCCAGTCGTCAGGAAACGGCCACATCCAGGGAATGCTTACTTGCTCCCAATTTCCAGTTCACCTGCTGGCAGAGAATCGTACTCTCCCACGTAGAGCTTGGTTCCATTGGCGTTAACCTGGACACCATTGCTTCCAACAATATCAGAACGGGGGATAACAGCAACCAGGGCACCGGTAGACGGTGTGTATCGCCAGACAGCATCAGGGAGCTGGTAGTCCGAATCTGGTCGATCAACCAGCCCACCATAGAGGTTGTCAGTAAAGTATACTTGGGTCGTATCGAGGCCGTTCCCATCGTGATTAGCGGGTACGACAGTGATATCGTCAGGTCCATTGAAGGGTAAACCAAACCATGAATTGGCAAGTATTTCGGCTTCGTAGGTAACAGCATTGACTCGCGCAATGCCCGGTTGAACGCTTACATTGCCAAAATAGACTAAATAGACAAAGCCATCAAAATAGTATGCTCCGTTAGGATTGACAAGGTTCGTCTTGACTTGATGGATTGAATTGTCTGTCAGATTTAGCCGGTAAATGGTGGTGGGCTTGTCGTCGAGGATGCTGCTCGTGAACCACACTTGGTTTCCTCTCCAATCATACGTGGCACCCTGAACTCTCTAGTCAGATCCCGTATAGATTGTTGAGGGGTCGCTGGGGAGCTTCAACTAGCCTCGAAAGCAAACGAATCATTTCTCTCTTCCAAGAGCACTGCCTTTGGGCTGGGGCCAAGCATGTCCGTGAACTCGGAACTGTAGGAGATGAAGGTTGCATTCTGGGCTTCCTTCAGGAGGTCGGCCAGACCGTTGTTATTGGTTTTCGTGTCAATGAAGTATGTTGACGCGTTACTCGTATAATTTGGAGTGATCAAGTGGGTATAATTCATGGGGATGGAGACAGTTCCATTGAGAGTTAATGCTGTGGCGACACCCGCAGCTAAGCATTGAAGTAAGATTGTAAGATACATCTTGATAAGAATTCTTGAGCTTAGCAACTACACAAGCCTCAATGCTTGGTGATATCGATATCGCGACTTTTTCGGTAGCAATATATAGCCCTGCAGCCCTGTCAATCCGCTGAATATATAGCCTAGGTTCTTCGTCACTTCTTCCCCGCCTTCGTCGGTACGAAGGTCCATGTCTAAGAGATATAATTCAGTTATAGTTCTATCTCCGTGGAAAACCCCAAATGCTCCGTCATTCCCCCACTGATTCTACTCTGGCGGTGAGCTCTTTGACATAGAAAACATTCATTCCGATCTATTGAACACCATCGCTGACCCCGCATCCCTCACTCCAGACGTGTTGGACCGAAACTCCGAGGTGAAAGTATCCCTCGGGCGCTAGGATCCTTTGAATCCTTCGGAGACTGGGGTTTATGTCGGAAAGATGGAAATGAGACGGAATGCAATGCTGAGGATCTATAATGCTGCGCCCGTGCGAGGCTTCGGTCGTAGCATGCACTGCTGCGTCATAGAAGCCACCATTTTGCCGCTCTCGTCCCAGATCCTTGACTCCGCATAGTTCCGCGCAACTCCCGCAGTTCGGGTCATGCGCTCTCGGAGATGCCAGCGGGTCATGTCAACATCGTTGACAAACACTCTCAGGGCAAAGTCCAACGTTGACGCAGCACCAGCATCATGCATGCCTTTGTGGTCGTGGATCAGCGGCATGAAAGACGGTCCCGCATCCATCATGAAGGCCAGAGCTGCAAGATGCTCGGCCCTGGAGGTCAGAGGTTGAGCTGTTCTAAACCAGTCTCCAGACGTCTTGGAGGTGATTGGGAGGTGGTCTTGGGTCGTCCGAAGCTGCTTTGCAGCTCCACCGAGATTCTGTCCCCAGATTCCCTCGGGACAAAATCGGTTCTCGAAGAATGATAGCAAGACGGAGGTGGTATGTCGATAAGCTCGGGCATCTTCCTCCGTGATGTGGCCTTTTGCCAAAAGGTCTTCTGCCAATTTCTCCACTCGCGGACATTGGCTCCAGTCACTGTATCGACCTTTCGGCGGCGCTGAATATTCCATCATTGCTGGCTCATTGACGTGGAAGTCAGCTTGCAGCGTCATGCAGAGCCGCTGTTCTCCACTGGGAAGACTCTGCCATACATCAACGCGGCGTGTCGCAAATGTTCTCGTGTCGCGCAAACGTTGAACTCGACAAGTCAGGGTACGATCCGTTCTTGTTGGTCCGAGAAAGTGTCCGAGCACGGAATAGAGATTGTAGCCGGGTTTCACAGTGTGATATGCAGCGTGCACACCGATGGACATTGTACAACCGCCATACGCAATGCCAAGTTGATTCGCTCCTCTTGCCGGCGGGAATAGTGAGCAGAACTCATCTGGACCAGTTGCTTTGACGGCAATCTGCTCTGAGAGAGTGCTCGCCATCGGCACACTCATTGTGAATTCTATTTGTCCGACTTCCACTCGAATGCAACCGGATATCTGTAAAGGAGGCAACCGATGAAGTAGGAGGTTTGGCTGACTGCAAGAGCGCAGCTGGTACAGGTTCAGGTGTTTTCAAAAGCCGAGGTTCGGCAACGGCCGCGGACGGGTGGACGGCTAACCGAGATCGCAAGGAAACGAGAAGATCTGCAAACTGCGTCATCTCCCGGGGACAATTGTGATGGAAGGAAGGGGCACGGATAGATTGCCGGTTGTACATGATTATTACTCCAGTCGGTGCGCAAAGCGCGAGCAGATGTGAGATTATAAACATCCTCGCACAGATTGAAAAGTCTTAGTTGAGCTCCGGTGTTACGACTTCTCGTCGGCAACATCCTCCCTCGGTACACATCAATTAGCTTCGGGAGCTGATGGTTTGAACATTCTGCTGAGTTCATTTCTCTCTAGACGTACTGCTCATATGCCACCTATTCCTTACCCTTTATGGGATCTACTTTACCATTCTGATACCTCCGCCATTTTCTTCGCTTCTGCCCTACCTACTGTGTAGGTTGATTACATGACCCTTTTGTCACTAACAGACATAGCTCTCTAGATCTGAAGCAAATTCAAGATACTAGCCGTGCAGGAGGCCTCAAACCTTTACCTTCTCCCCCTCTTCACTCCCACTCGTCGTGCTGTGTCTAATATCGCTCTTGAACCCACCTCTCTCTGGGGCACCCGCTGCAGCCATGGCCTCCGTAGCACTGAGACTGTCGCCGTCCTTGCCCTCGAGGGTCATTCCCGGGGCACCAGCAGGAACAGTGTTGTGCTCGATATCCTCATACGGCCGCCAGAAGTCCTTTTTGCCCTTGGCAGCACGCACGAGCCAGGGTGGGAGAATCCCGCCTTCGATCTTATATGTCCAGGGGTCCTTGAACTCCTTGTCGGCGGGCCTGATGCGGCCGCCAGAAACCTTCTCAATAATCCACACAAAGGTGTTGAGTACCATGTAGCTGATGATTCCCGCGATAAGGCCATACGCAATGCTATACGTGAACGGCATGATGGCGATTGTCAGGAATGCAGGAATTGCATCACCGATGTAGCGCCAGTTGATATCCTTGGCAGCTTTGGCCCTATAACACAGGCTTGTGAGATCAAGTCGGAGGAAGACGTTGGGCAGACTTACATGAGCGACCCAACAATAATCAAAACACAGCCCGTAGCGTAAGGAGGAATTGATGCAAAGATTGGGGCAAAGAAGATAGAGATGAAGAAGCAAATCCCGGTGGTGATGGCAGTGAGACCAGTGCCTCCGCCTTCCGAAATACCGGCACCGCTTTCGATGCTGTAGTATTGTTAGCATTTGTGTCGTCAAAGGGCGAAGCTTGATGCCTCGGTGTACGGGTACGCACTATGCAGTGACGGGCGGTGTTCCAAAGAGTGCGCCAATGGAAATACCAAAAGCGTCAACAAGGTATGCCACCGCGGAGCCTTCGAAATCTTGAGTCTTCTCGTCGATGGCGCCGCAGAACCGAGCCATGGAGTACAATGTGCCGGTACAGTCCAGAATATCAACGTAGAGGAAAGTGATGAAGGCCAGGCCGAATTGTCCTCCATATCCCGAGATGTTCCACTCCTGGACGGTCAAGATCTTCTCAATAGGATGGAAAGTGACGACCTTCTTGAAGAAATCGAACATGCTGTCGCCGAGCTCCGTGTACGGGAAATATGTGACAGGAGTCCCTCTCGGCCAGGAGATGATGCTGACCAGCAAAATGCCGAAGATGATTGCGCCCTTGACACGGAACATCATGAGCATGACGGTGAAGAAACCTCCGCAAAAGATGCCGATCCACATAGTGGGACTTCGCATCTTCTCAGCCGAGGGACACAGCCCAGCCTCGTCCTGGAACTCTGGTTTGCAACCAGCCAGCTCAAGCGGAGTGGCTTGCGCACCGACCACGGCGCCAATACCCGCACTGTAGGTCAACCCGATGAGAGTCAAATATAATCCGATGCCGACGCCAGTTGCGAGTTTGATTGATGCCGGGATCGCTCGAGCAAGCCATTGGCGCAAACCAAGGATGGTCAGGCCGACAAAGACGAAGCCTTCAACAAAGACTGCCGTAACTGCAACCTGATATGGTACGAGACCGGATCCGTGGTATCCAACAACAGTATAAGCGAACTGGCAGTCGTCAGATCATTCCCCGGGAAGTTCAGATTGGCACATCAAGTGGCACACAAGGGGCACATAGCCATGGGACGCGGTGAGGAGCTTACATAGGCATTCAAACCCATACCCGGCGCCAGGGCGATTGGCATGTTTGCGAAAAGACCCATGCAGAAAGTGGTCAAGGCCGAGATGGCAGCGGTCGCAGTAACCAAATCTCGCTGGACACCAGCCACGCAGATCATATAGTCAGGGTCACTATCGCACAGATCGGGACTATCTGGAGAGCAGATGCAGGTGCCGCCAGACTGGGACACAATTGTTGCGTTGACGCTGATGATGTAGGCCATTGCAAAGAAGGTGGCCAACCCGGCTCGGATTTCGGTGAAGAAATAGGTTCCCTTTCGTTCCCTCCGATGGCCTGAGCCATCAAGCCGGAAGCGCTTGCCCACGAAGGAGCGCGCCACGGCCATGTTGGCATTGTGAATCATCTCGTTGATACCCATGCTTTCGATTCCCGTGACGCAGTCGATACAAATGAACAGAAGGACAGACGAAAGACAGATGAGGTCAAAGCAAACATTGACGTACCTGGGATTCAGGAAGGTTGATATATCGCGATGATGTAAAGCATATCAAATGGCCACGCCCAGAATCAAGATCTCCCTTAGCCAAAATGCTGATAAGAGCGTTCGCACATTGGTGATTGCAGTCGTACCCGAGAAACCATTCTCAGTGGCCCGGAGCCGCCCTACGGGCCCTATGCCAAGACAATGGGCGGGTTCCCGCTTGACCAGATGGCGTTCGGCAGGACTTGGCGAGGCTTTTTGACGCTCGGGTTTTGATAAGTGCATGCATGATTGTTGGTCGACTCGCCTACGAGCAATTCGGCGAGCGGCGATGCACTGGAAGACCTGAGGATCCCGCCCTTTTTTGACCTTCCTTTTGCTGAAGGAGTCGATCTGATATCGACAAGGGTTGTACGGAAGCGAATGCCAAGACTCTCCGGATGCCGGCGACAGCCTGGGAGTAGCAAGTAAAAGGATCGTGGATGCGTGAACTTACTCAATTACCTTGACCTCGACCAAGGTTCCGCGCTATCCTGACCTGGTCGCTGCTTCGCTAATGAGATATGTCATGTTTTCTTTTAGGTGGGCTAGTATTCGCTCCAACTAGGGCTGTAACCCTACAGGCTTCGCAAAGTTCGTTGCGGGGTAAAGCCTGGCAGAAGTAACTTCAGGGTCTTCATCCACATTGAGAGAGCGACACAGACATGGATGGGTATGTGGGTATCCGCACCACGGGTAGATAGGTACAGAGACGGAGAGGGGCTTCCCCGGTAGTAGCTCGGGGTTGTTCCTCAGACAAGGCTCAGTGAGTTGGTCACGTGCCTGGATCCCCTGATTCTGTGACACAGTCATGGGACTTACTTACAGAAGGTGTACCGAATACTAGCGCCACACATTCAACCCAAGATCTCAGGCCTTAGTGATGCGATCAATCATAATTCATCCCCCTAAAGATATGAGCCTAGTGATCAAAGTAAGGTAATATGGACTTCAGTCCATCTCTAATCAAACTAAGCGAATAACCCTAAGAGAGTATGTGACTGACACCTTATCACGACAAACATCCACGAGGGACAATGCAACGTGATTCAAACTTTCGACCTTTTTCATTCTTTCCATCACCATTGACCCTGATGATTGAACGGATCAGCCATTCGACATCAAAAAGTTGTGTGGCTAACGTCATGTCCGTGGCACGGGCATACAGAGAGTATCAGTGGCAACGCCTATTTCCCACTGACTTTACCGTTAGTCTGTGTAGTCCCGGCCTTCGGTGGGAGCTCAAATGTCTGGAAATCGGTAGAGATATACTGCGCAGAGTGTCTCAGCAGTATAGATTCGCGATATTCCAGTACCGGAAGCTGGGTTGTCAAGAGAAAGCGAGAGGTGGGGGCGTAGTTTATGGAGCCAGTTCCTGTCCACAATTCCCCTTCGGTGCAAATGTTTTGGATCGCCACATATTCACGCACGACCGGATCCTTGTCATTATGGAGATTCGGTAATATGCGCAGAACCAGGAACCGCTTCTGATCTGCTGGGACAGGCATTTTTTGCAGCCCGTGGATTTTGCTTTCAGGCCTGAAGCCAAATTGTATCACTTTGTGACTGACTGGCCGCTCAACGTGGCCTAGTTGAAAGCCTGGATCTCTTGGAGTAGTAGTTGGGTCGAAGACAACTCTTCCGATGACTTTTGGACACCCCAACTGTTCCCGACCCATGAATAAGGCGGCTTCGTTCTCCAAGATCAGCTCCAAGCCAAAGTCGTATTTGATACCCTGATACGTCACTTCGACAGTGGTTATGAGCTCTGAGTAAGCTCCAAATTGGCTGAAACCCCAATTAGCGGCTGTCACACCAACTAGTGGTTTGTCCTCAATTTCAAAATCATCAGGAATCAGGTGTTTTACTGCCTCCGCTGATGTGAGGTATTCAATTCTGAGCATATCTGTATCCGAATACTCAATTCTCTTTGTTGGATAAAGAGGATTCTGCGCAGGAACGCTAGATGCGGCTCGTACATTAAGCTCGCCTCGAGGCATGATAATATAACGACAAACGAATATTATGATATATGGAAATTTCATCAAGTAGGTGTTTCACCAGACTAGAGGGCTAGATGGGGTTAATGTTTTTATGGTAGTCAGAGGATGGAGAAATGCTCCGAGTAGTCCCCCGGCAAAGGCTTGTTATATCCACTTATGCCGAGTTGACCTCGGATGATAAAAGGTGTCACGACTCGCGAGGCAACCTATAAATGGAAATTTAACTAAGCGAATCCAAAGGGCATTCCGCAACCCCAACTACATGCACTAAGCAGCAATATTTCCATTTTTTCTGTCACTAATCGATAGATCTCGTTAAGCTAAGTACGTCGATACCATTCCTTTCTTTATATTTCTAATAATAGGGAAGGAACGTAGCTCGAAAGTGTAGGTCCCGGAGGAATAGTTAGGACGTATAAAGAAATTTTCGAAGATACTAACTCCTTCTCGAATATAGTAACTAGAGGGTAGAGTTAGGGTCCCCTTCCCTTCTCTTAATTCACTTTTTACTTTATTTAGACATTTATCTTCTAATAGTATACCCTCTAGAACCTTCTAGAATCTCAAGAATGAAGTAGAGGGGCGATAGAAATCGAAAAGAGTTACTCCTTGTCCTATCTCTCTTCTCTTCTTTTATTATATGGGAGAGTCTACAGACTGGAGCGTGATTAGTAGAATTTACCTGTATAATGTACAGCATGACACTCCTACCTCCTAATTAGCTGGATCTCGGATACTAGGTCCGAGAGTCCTTTTCTTAGAGATCCTTTTAGAGGATTAGTTCTTAATAAGTTCGTAGGTACTCAAAAATAAGAGTAATTAATTAAGTAATGGAATCTATCTAATTAGGGTCTTTAATGCTGTTTTATTGTTACTATACGATAGTCGTTACCCCTAATACTATGCCCACCGCCGTACGAGTTGATGCCTCTAGCTAAGAGCCTCGCCCTAGTTCACTACCAACGCTAATTATTAAGTTATTCTAGTCATCTAGATCGTCTAATAGGTCTAAACTATCGTCCTTATTAAGGATTTAAGACGTAAATAGTTATTACGTATTCTACGGGGTATAGAATCGCTATATAGGGCTTTCCTTAAGCGCTACACGAGCGATCGATCTCACCTTATTAGGTATAAGTCTACCTTCGGTAGACTTATATTCGCTCGCCGCGGCCCTCATAGCGCTAGAAATGGGCGATCGCGCCTAGGCTAAGGCGCGTACGGTATTAAACCTTAGGTAGAGGCACTAATAGGTCTCTTAGGGTTCTCTATTATACTAGGACTAACGGGAATGATAGTTATAGACCTAGGCAGTACTAGAGTAGCCTCTACTAGCTCCCGAGAGGTCGGAGATAGTAACCTTAAAGGCGTTAACGTTACTATAGGCTAATCTACTCTCGTTAGCGTAGCTAAGGTACGTACTTCTAGGAGACAGTGAGAAGGTATCGGTTTACGGCGAGGTCGCGTAGATATATTAATATAATCTTATATACTATAGGATAGCTATTTACTAGATAAATTACGCTATTCAAAATTACGTAGACCTAAACCGCTATATACGTATATAGCGGTGTAACTATCATTATACCCTTACTAAAACTAATAATTTTTTAGATTCTTACTCGCTACTGTAAGCGTTCAGTGCCTACAATAATTTGGCGTTTAATGAGCCCGTATCTTGGTCGAAAAGGCTTCAAGAGAGCGTTTCAGGTCTATCAATTCTTCTTCCATCTTGAGTAATTATGGCTAGCAAGTGAAGAATAGTAATCGAAACGTAGGAAAAGTCTGCATACGCCTTCGAACAGGAGCATAGGCATTTTTATTAGCGATCCCTGTAAACAACAAATCATCTTATGATTCGGCCCGGTCGGTGGCGCGTGTCTGATGGGTGTCTTCGTTGTAGCTCTGCCCTCTTCACCTATTGCACTGTGACCGTCTCTCCTAGACGGCCGACCCCTCCTCACACATGAGCCTTTATTCCTATGTAAATGATTGGTGGAGCATTGGACAGGCAGCATAGTGACTCTCGCCCTGTCACAGCCCTACACATTAAGCATCAGAGATAAGCTGGATAGTACGAGTACGGAAGTACAAATTTCGGGTTCATTCTCTTCATAGGAGTAGTTACCCGTAGGCCTCGGTACTTCATACCTGCTGATTATCTACCTACTTGCTCCTCGCTTCTGAGTTTTACTGCCTACAAAGAACTCTGAGTCCAGACCCTAGCTTTCTCACGCAACGAAGAACCGGTTTAGATCTTCAACGCTCTTTCAACTAGGCCATGAGCCAGGTTGGAGTCATCCACATCGTCCTCCTTCGCTAGAGTTTGTGCCGCGGTGAGTTCTGGATTTCTGAAGCACAAGGCAAATCCGACCAACGGAATGCAGAGGCACAAGCCCGTGACGCACAGCAACAGCTGAACATGGCGATAACTGTTATTGATAGCCTCCCTGATGGGTGTCCCAACGGGATAATGGGCCGCGACGGCAAACGGATTCGCGTAGATCAATCGGGGGAGTGTGGTATTCGACTGAAACGACAATTTCTCCTCCAAGGTCGAAGGCAGGACCTGCGACCAAATGGCTCCTGACACACTAGCACCGAGCGCGTGACCAATACTGTGAGATGCAAGGAAGACACCGGTCATTATCGCCATTTGTTCATGCTTCAGCGCGACCTGAAGGGAAGACAGTGCGGCGTATGGAAACATGCCACCTCCAATACCCAGGAGGACTTCCGCGCCGATGACACCCGCCCGGGAGGACGAGGATGAGTCGCCGCGGTATCTGATCAGCAGCCCGAACGCAACCATGTACAGCACCGTTCCTGCCACCACGAGATACTTCATGTGTCGGGACCAGTAGACAAACAGGCCACAAAACGGCCCGACCACAAAAGATGTGAAGAGGTAGAGACTTGTGATTCGAGTGGCCGCTTTGACCGAAAAGCTGAATGCAATCACCAGAAGTGTGTATAGGTAGTTTCCCTGCAATGCGTAGGCAAAGTTGGTAGTGATGGACAGCGCAATTGGACTCCAGACCCCTAGGTCTTTCAGATCCTGGAGCCGCACGAGTGGTTGAGGTGCTCGACGCTCCCAAAACACAAACAGTGGAATGCAGACAAACCCGACAACCAGCGGCGCAATCACGTGCGCCGTCTTCCAGGTTGTCTTGATGCCGCCAGCGATGGTGAACGGGGTAAGTATCAGAGCGATGATGGCGATAAGAAGCAAAAGTCCGATGGTGTCGAGTCGCCAGAATGTCTCTATAAGGGAGAGACGCTTGGCCGTGGATCGCTGAGAAGAGATGCGTTGTGCCCGCCGGTCTAGGAAGAGTAGGGTACCGACCAGTGGTGCCACGCAGATGGTGATGATGATGCACCACATACCGATACCCCACTGCCATGTGGTATCTTTGAGGACGGCCGATGTGATGTTGCCCGAGACCCAAGTGGTGATGGCAAAATGAAGGTTGGGAATGTACACGGCAAACAGGCGAAGCCGGGTCGATGTGAGATCTCCAACCAAGACCGTCACTATGGTCTGCAGGCTTGTCATGCCGACTTGCCAGATGACCGCTCCGGCTGCGTAGCTGTCCACACCTGTCGACGTCGCCTCGACGATGCTGCCGACCAGGTAGAAGACGATGGCCAGTCCAATAACCTCGACACGGCCAAAGCCGTCTGCCAGTCGAGCCGAAGTAAACTGGGCGCCGGCAGCGAAGACGGTGCGCAGAACATTAACAGTCGCCAGCAAGGAATGCTTCTGATAGCTGGCGGTGGCATACGTGGTGTAGACATTTCTGACCGTCGCGTCCAACCCGTAGGCATAGCCTACAAGGAATATGCAGACCAGAAGGGCCGTGAGGCTGGTCGTGGTAAGGCTGTTGTATATCGCCTCGATTCGGAGAACCCCAATGGACTTGTGCCCTGCTGGCGATTCTGTCGTGTCTGCCTTTCCGGAGAGTTTGTCTGGTGCTGCCACTGGGAACGGGCTTATAGAAGCTGTTTCTTTGGCTTGACCGTAGTTCTCCCAATTTGTAGAGGACATGGTGAAGGAGGAGACTTGAGGGGAAGGCTGACTAAGGATCGCTAACAACAGGACTGAAAGAAGTTACTTAAGTATCAATGATTGTCCACAGCATTGACCCTCGATGCTCATTCACCCGCCTTTATATATATACGGTCTACGAGTACTTAGCTACAGTAGGGTTAGGGTGGCAATTTCTGCTTTGCATTCGACGAGAGGAAGTGTAAATGAGATGCTGTTCTTATTTGCCGAATCCCTCAGCTATCTGCTAAAAAGGTTGAAGCTGTGCTTGTTAGCATGTGGGCCGAGTTCAAATATAAATGAGGACCTTGAAGAGCCAAGACTCCGCCTAACGCTCTTTCATTCAGCTACATGTACTCTCAGCCCTTAGCCGGTCCGCAAAAGGAAATGCAAAAGCTTCGCCCGGCTGCGTTTCCTTGTCCTCAGCACGAGGATCACTCGCCTTCCGCACATGCTGTACGGGTAAGGCACGTTGCTCATCGACTGTACTCCGTTCTTACCTGGTGGACTACCTATGACCACCTAACAGGTCATATCCATTTTCCTACCTTAACACTCAGGAGCATATAAAGTGGTCGAGAAAAGCGTTTCTATACTTATATTATACTACATGATCGCTAGTTTTATATAGTATAGCTCGTAACTCCATCCTTCTTCTACCCCTTAAAGTTAACATTCTCCGTTAGATATTTTTCTTTTATTATAAGTATTTATATATTATTTTTCTTTCTCTATCTAACGTAGGTCTCTATATCTCTATAGCTAGTTACGTTATTAAGATATCGAAGTCTAAAAATACTCTATCTCGCGGCGTTAAAGCGTATATTATTAAGTATTATCTACATTAAATACTAAAGTAGTCTAGTCTAGCGAGCGTAATAATTTATCTATTAGTTTACTTATAGTATAATAATTTATTTATTAGTTCGCTTATAGTATAATAATTTAT